CTCTGGACAGAGGCCTTTCAAATCCCTGATTGAATTTCCAGCAATCGACTTTTCCCGACTGTAACCAGAAAAGTATGTTTAAATGAACATGAAATTCCATCGGTACAAAGCCTTGTGAAGCTCAGTCCACCAGCCCCATCACCGAAGCCGCTAATAACGCCCTATTGTGTTTCTGTGGTAGTCTACGTTGTCATTATGAAGTCTTTTGCTCCTGGTTGAGAAAACATGACGTTCCATTAAATGTATAATCTGGGTTCCCTCCAGGCCAGAGATGCATCCTGCTTAAAGCCGAAATGAGCTGAGATTCAATGTCATGGAAAAGAGGAGAAGCATCCGCTGGGCAAAGGGGAGTTGAGGGCTGGGGAGAAGAATGGGGAGTGCGGTGCCCTGTGACCCACTGGCCAAAGGATCTTAGAAGCCCAAGGGAAAAACAAGTCAGCAGTCCTTCTCTTTCCACTCTGCTGTGGTTGGGTGCTGGACAGCCCTGGCTGGAAATGTTCTTATCTGCGAGAGTAGATCATGTCTTTAGGGCTCCCCCAGGGGCCTGTTAGCTATCACTACCTTTTGGCCCATCTCCCAGCTCTGGGCTCCACGGTCACAGAAATGAGCCTGGATCCAGACGGCAAGCTTGAGTTGTGCATCTGCCCTAGCAAGTTCCAGCATGGTGTTCGCTCAGCACAAAAGCATCCCTCTCTTCAGACAACAGGGCAACTGAAGGAAGTCAGAGGAGTCCCAGTAAATGTAAAGCAGGCGCCTGTAAAGGTCTCCCCACCCTTTGTTTCCTGAAGCATTTTGGGCTCCACAATGATATGATGCATTTAGAAATGTACTCCAGGATTAAATATGAAAGAAGCAGCATCCTCTACGATGGCGAGAGGCTCAGAGCTCAGCACGCTAGTCAGCAGGCCTGAAATGCTTGTTTGTTTGTTTGTTTTTTAATCCTCGCTAAGGATATTTTTCCCATTGCTTTTCAGAGAGAGTGGAAGGGGGAGAGAGAGAGAGAGAGAAACATCGATGTGAGACACATCGACTGGTTGCCTCCTGCACGTGATCTCCTCCAACCAGGGCAGGATGGAGCTTGCAACCGAGCTATGTGCCTTTGGCCAGAATCGAACCCCTCTGCTCACAGGCTGATGCTCTAACCACTGAGCAAACTGGCTAGGGCTGAAATGATTTTCAAAAACTCAAAGTAACATATTTTTGTTGAATATAAAAGTAACATGTTCATTGCAGGAAATTTTGAAAATCAAGAAAAGCATAAAAACAGAATTCAAAAATCTTCCAGATAGAAATACTATTACATATTGGGTAAATACAGGGTGTCCCCAAAATGTATACACACTTTAATGGCTGATAGCTCAATTTTGAACATTAGATGTATTTTAATAAACACTGCCTTTATAATTATTCAAAGTGTATGTATTCATTTTTCAGGGACACCCTATATACATATGTGTTTGTTTGTTTGTTTTTCAAAGGGAGAATCATAAAGTATATAATGTTTGGTAACTGTATTTTCACCTAAGAGTAGATTATGAGCATTAAATGTTTTTCCTAAAATCTCTCACAAACGTGCATAGTATTTATCATGCCTTACTTCATAAACCCCATTGATGGACATTTAGTTAATTTTCAGCTTTATTCATAAATAACACTGCCATGAACGTACATATAGGCGCTTCTATGGGATGCTCTTGGATTTTTTTCTTTAGGACATAGATTTCCAAGATGGAAAAGTAGAAACCCATTTTTAAAAAGCATTTGATACATGTTGCTAAAGTACCTTCTTGTCTTTGTTATCCAATACAATTACCACATGTGGTTATTTATATTTAAATTAATTAAACTTAAATAAAACAAAAAGTTCACTTCCTCTAACACACTAATCGCATTTCAAGTGCTCAACAGCCACATATGGTTGGTAGCTACCATATTGGGCAGCACAGATAAAGAAAATTTCCAGCAGCACAGAAAGTTCTATTGCACAGCACAAGCCTAGAAAGACTGTACAAATTTATATTTTCCTTAGTAAAATATGACAGTGCCCACCTCTTACAAGTTGGCCAGTACTAAATAGTTATTCTTTAGAAATATTTGCCAACTTAATAACAATTGTATCTTGATTTTTCATTTCTTTGATTAATAGTAAAGTTGAACTTATTTATTTATTGCCTTTGATACTTTTTTTTTGGCAAATTGTTTATGTAGTAAGCTTATTTTCTATTGGGATGACCTTTTAAAAACTGATTTTTATATATATTTAAAGAGTAATTGCCATTGCAACAGTATCTGCAACTTGTTTTTATCTTTTATTTATGGAATTTTTTTCCACTTATAGAAATTTAAATTTCTAATCTATTTACATCTTTTTATAGTTTTTTTCTATTGTTTCTGCCTTGTTTCAAAAGCTCTAAAACTAAGATTATAGTAATAGTCATCTAAAATTTCTTCTAGTGCTCTCACAGTTTCCTTTTAAACATTAAAATTTTCAATCCTGGAATTCATTTTGGTGTGTGGTGTAAAGTATAAATATAACCTTTTCTTTTCCCATGCTATCAACCATTTGTCCAAGAATCTTTTTTTTTTTTTTTTTTTAAAGAACAAATTAATTCCCCACTGATTTGAACTTCCACTAAATGCTTACATATCGTTGGATCTGTTTCAAGATTTTCTTCTCTGTCCACCTATCTTTTGGCTTTTACCATCTTGTTTTTATTAATTTGCTTTATAATACATTTTAATATTTGGAGGTATAAGTATTTCTTCACTATTCTTTCCCAAAAATGTTTTAGCTCTTTTTGCCTGTCTTTCCCCCCCTCTAAGATAAACCTAGAATCATTTTATTAAATTTCTCTCAGCACCAAAATAAATGCTTTCAGAACTTTGATTGAAAAGTTGAATTCAATTTATAAATTGATTTGGGGAGAATTGATTAGCTCTACAGTATGGAGTGAAGTCATTCCATTCAGGGACATGGTGATTCTGTCCATTTTTTCAAGGTTTCCTGAATGTCCTTCTCCACCAGCTTAAAAAACAACATTTTTTTTGAAGCACAGTGATCGATATCTCTGACTGTTTTCAGACACAGTCTCTGAATCTGTGAGTGGGTGCTTCCAGCCACTAGAAGTAACAAAAGAAATTCCATTTCTTAGCATTGGAGTATATTTTCAGTATCCACCTTCCCATAAATCTGCAAGAGAGATCTCACTTTTCATCCAAAGAATCTGGAGTTCAAAACAGCCTTTACGGAAAAATCAAACTCTAGGGGCAACTGCAAAGCACATTTGGTTTCTAGCTGGCCAGCTTATTCTGCAGGACTCTTTTTTCCAATTCCCAAATACTTTCCAGTCTGTGAAATTCATCTCCCCACCGCTGCAGCAGCAAGCCCGACCCTGGCGCTGGGCGCTCGCGCATTTTAAGGCGCACGGATCTCCTTGGGGGGCTTTCTACTGTTGGGGCTGTTTATTAGTAGACAGCACGGAGATTCTTTGAATGGCTGCGGTTTGGCAAATCCAAGGGGGCTTGGGAAGCGTTTAATCGGTCAGAGTTCAGCTCTCCCTTGAGCACAACCCCACGATCCACTTTCGTAAGGAACCCAGGGCTCCTGCACCTCCCTGGTAGCCCACCAGTCAAGTCGCCGAGAACCTGAATTCTCCTGCATCACGGATTCTCAAGCCCGGGGCCGTGTTTTTTTTACCCGCAGGGGACTTTTGGCAACGTCTGGAGACATTTCTGGTTGTCTCCACTCCGGGACTGGGGGCGGGGGGC